TATAAATCACAAGTTATTCCTTTATCTTTTTGAGCACTTTAAATGTATATATTTAAAATTCTTTATCAATGAGAAATTTTAATACTGGCTAGATATTTGATGACATGAAATAATTATTGTTACTTTTAAAATTTGCAATCATATTCTGGTTCTCTTTGGTAAAATGAAAATCCTTGTCTTTTAGAGCAATATATTGAAGGATGCACAGTGAAATAATTTGCTGTAAAATACTTGTTGATAAAGAGGATAGAGGGTGGGGCTGGGAAGGTAGCTCAGTGGTAGAGTGCTTGCCTTACATGCATGAGGCCCTGGGTTCGATTCCTCAGTACCACATAAGTAAAAAGAAAAAAGCCGGAAGTGGTGCTGTGGCTCAAGTGGTAGAGTGCTAGCCTTGAGCTGAAGAGCTCAGGGACAGTGCCCAGGCCCAGAGTTCAGGCCCCATGACAGGGCCCCCCCCCGCCCCCTCCAAAAAAAGAGGATAGAGGGTACAGTTAAAAGATCTTCTTAGTTTCAGGTTGTTGAAGCTTGTTTGGTTATGTCTATCTGCACTTACTCTGTTTTGTGTTTAAATTTTTACATAATAAAGGGGTTTTAAAATCTTCTGTCATATGGTCCCATAAAATTAATTTCATCGGGAGTGATTTCATATTTCAGCTGTTGAATTGCTGGTAGCCTAATTACATTTTTGCGTATTTGAAATTGGCTTGCAGGCTTATTTTGAGTAGGCAGTTTGACTTTTGTTGCTTTGTTTTTCTCTCCCTTACTGCATGGCCTTTTCTTACTGCCTGGCATTTCCCTAGTTGCCTATATGGTATCAGAAGGCAGACTAGATTTGGCTGCTCTTTCTGAAGGTCTCCATAGTAGTGCTGGGGACCCTGTAGAGTAAGAGCTGAGTCTGTGGGTTCTGGGTTCATTTGTGCTCCAGGGCTAGCTCTGTCGCCTCTCAGCTGCCTAGGTTTATGCAGACAACAGCATGTGGATCTGATCTTTGGGAATCTTTGATGTCCATTTTTTAATTCAGAAGGAGCCCTCATCTCCAGCTGTCCAGTCCCCTGTGTCTGTGGAACATGGTTTATTCCCATTCTGAAGGATAGAGAGGTCTCGGCTGTTCCTGAAGCCCAGCAGGCATGTAGCTTCCGCCCCACCCACTGCTTTTTGTTTCCCTTCTGTGTTAGACACTTTAGTTTTGTCTTTGAACCAGGCCATGTCTTTTTGGTGGTCTGCTTTTACCTGCTGTTGCTCTGTGTTTGGAGCAGTGGTGGCACATCGAAGTGTGAACACACAGTGCTTCCTGGACTAGAGGAGCGCCTGACCAATCCACTGAAGGCTCCTGTGACCGTTCAGACTCCTTCCACTGTCTTTGCATCAGATATAACATACTTAACACAGCATTCTATTTCTCAGAAGACTTTTTTGGAAATCTCCTCGAACAAAATAGCAACCTAGTACCTCAGACTTGTTTTATCTTATGGTCTCTTTAGCATGTATCAGTCTCTGAAATTATCAGATAGATAGATAAATAGATAGATAGATATTCATGGGGCTTGAACTCTGGGCTTGGGAGCTATCCCTCAGCTCTTCAGCTCAAGGCAAGCGCTCTACCACTTGAGCCACAGCACCACTTCTGGTTTTCTAGTGGTTTATTGGAGATAAGAGTCTCACGGAATTTCCTGCCCAGGCTGGCTTTGAACCATGATCCTAAGATCTCAGCCTCCTGAGTAGCTAGGATTACAGGCCTGACCACTGGTGCCTGGCTCTCTATTTTTTTTTTTAATTTTAATTTTTACTTTTAGTTTTATGTTGATCGTGGGACTTGAACTCTGGGCTTGGGTGCTGTCCCTGCCCTCTTTGGCTCAAGGCAAGCACTTTACCACTTGAGCCACAGTACCACTTCCCGTTTTTCTAGTGGTTTATTGGAGATGAGACACTCACGGACTTTCCTGCCTCGTCTGGCTTTGAACAGTGATCCTCAGATCTCAGCCTCCTGAATAGCTAGGATTATAGGCATGAGCCACCAGCGGCTGGCTTCAAATTATTTTATTTATCTGCACACACATTTACTTCTCCCACTGGGACCTAAGCTCTGTGAGAACAGAAACTGTCTCCCTGGTCTCCCTGGTATCTGCAGCCCCTTCACAACCATGGCTGACATATAGTAGACACTCAGAAACATGCTGAGAAGTTCCTGAGTCAGTCATTGAGGCCTGCCTGTGCTCCTTGATTCTAATGTCATGCTGAGAGTTACATTTTGTGTGGCCTCTCTTGAGTGCTAGGAAGCAGGTGTTAGACTGTTGAGCAGCTGTGTCAAGTGACCCTTTTTGTCTGCTGTGTTTCTTGACTTACCATTCTAAATCTTTGGGTATCTGTTCTGACTGGGCACTAACATCCAGATATTTGCATCACATTCTCTTTGCACTGCCCTTTTTCACATGTCACCTCAGTGGCTGTCATCAGTCATGAAGATTTCTTTATAAACCTTAGAGGAGACGAGAGCTGGCAGGCAGCACAGGGTAGTGGCAGAGGCAGTGTAGGTGGATACTTGCTGGTCTCAAGGTGTTGGAGACATGGCATAGAGCTTCCAACCAAGGGGAAGACAGACTCATCCCTTTCTAAAAGCTCTTTATGTCTTTACTTGACCACTGCCTAACTGTGTTATGTATTGATATCAATAGAAAAATGCTCTAACTGTTCCCTAATTGTCCTTAATCCTCCTTTTCCTCCTTTCTTCTTCCTCTTTTGCTCTTCCTCTTCTCTTTAGGTGGTACTGGGATAGAGGGCCTTAAGCTTGGTTGACAAGTTCTCTATAATTTAAGCCACTATTCTAGCCTTTAAAATTGTTTTTGCTTTATTTTATTTTTTATTTATTTATTTATTTTGTTCAAGTCTGTCCTTATACCAAGAGCCTCCTACCTTCCTGTGTAGTTGGGATTATAAGCATGTGCCAACTGGGATCTTGCTAACTTTTGCTCAGGCTGTTTAGAACTATGATCCTCCTTCTCTGTCTCCAGAGTAGGTAAGATTAAAAGCATGTACACTCAATCTTCAACCTTTCTTTTTTGTGTGTGTGTATGCGTAATCTTTCTCTCTGAGGAAGTGCCAGTGATTGGGCATCTCTACTCAGTACTTTAGTTCTGCATCCCATGCTTAACATCTTGTTGGCACAGACTTGGAAGCTACTGGCTGAGTGTTGTGGCAGCTTCTGCCCCGAAGACGGATCATAGATGTCATTTAGCTAGAGGGTAAATGCAGGGATGAGCCTCCAAGTCCCTTCTGCCCCAGTTGCCCCTAGTGAATAGTAGGTGAAGAGGCTCAGGAGGATCTTGCTTTCAGATGTCATCTCCCTGCTTGACTGGAATGACTGGTTAGAGAATGGCAGGCCCAGGACTCTGTGTGGTTCTCTTTCCTGGCTGTAACAGTATCAAATGAACTTCTTCTTTGTTGCACCAGGATTATTCCCAGTTCATTGCTGGGCTGTTGAAAGACCGGTATGATTAGCTGTGCTTGTATTCCTGGGACATAACCTTGGCATCCACTTTGACAGGATCTCCGATATTTCGAAGCACTTAACCTTAGTAGTTTGTGTTTGACTTTGTAGAGGTGTTGGCATTCTAGAGGCCTTCTTGGCATTTTTAGGTATTCTATAGCATCTGGGGGGGAGCCATAGTTCTACTTTCCCTCTACTTGTCAGGTAAGGGAAAACACAAAACATGGAGGACAGCTTGATCTAGGCTACACTACGCCTCTTGAGTTAAAGCCATTGTTACAGCTCCCATCTCAGGACACAGCCTGACACCTCGCCCCGCTGCCCAGGCTCTCCCTGGGGCAGTGGCTCCTTCCTCAAGCCTTTTACCTGATACTGTGCATTAGTAGGGTTTTGGTCAGGTCCTATTGCTGATGGTTCCAACAGGTTCCAGGCTGGTATCACTTCCAAGGAGATGGGTTTTCAGCAACTTCCATTTTTATCCTCTCCCATATTTTTGCAAGGTTCATACCCAGGTGCTGATACCATCATATGTTTTGGAAAGAAAAGCTCAGGGCTTAGTCACCAGGAACCCAGGGCCATGCTCAGGCAGACTTCAAGCCTACCATGGGGCATGGCCATTGCTGCAGGCCCAAAAGCAGTTCAGGAAAGCTTCTGAGTGGGTTTAGAGACATGGACATCCCAGTCAAGGTATTTGTGCTGCTTCTCTGCCATGATTCTGGTGATCTTTGTGAAGGCCTTGAACTATTCTGTATTTCTTTTCCGATTTTCCTGAACTGTCAAGCAGCCCTGTGGTTCTAGGGAATGGAGACAGTTCTATTCCAGTTTACACACTCTGTCAGAGGAAGCTGGGACTTCTGTGGAAGTCATCCATTTAACCTGGATTAAAGCCCAGGTCCGCTACTCCAGGTTGCTTTCCCTGGTTAGCTGAAGCTGCTCCTAACTACCTGGGTGCTTGTTCTCTATCCTTACTGCTCAGGCTGTGGGCTAGTGGCATGAATGCTGCAAGTGTCAGGACTCCACAGCCTGGTGCCCAGCCTGCCCTTCCACACCATGGGACTCTCACCCAGCCACAACCCATCTTGACAAAGGGTCAGCCTCCAGCTCCTCTAGAGCAACAGAGCTGTGGATCAGTCCTTGACCTCTCTGTTGTGTCTGTTTCCTCACCTACCTAGAGGGGGGGATTATAATAACCCTGCCTGCCTCATGGAGGTGTTGGGAGGAGCATGGCAGACAGTCTGTGGGAGGCACATGAACAGCACTTGGCAGATAGTAAGCATTCAATAAACGTTAGTGATTATCATCTGCAAAACGGTTTTAATAATTACCTACCTTGAAGGGTTGTTGTGAAAATTAAGCATAATATATGTGAACGATCTGCCATATTGTGGGGTTTTGGGTTCATTATTGCTGTTCTACTTATTCTGAATATTGTTGTGAGCAGAAATGTCAGTCTCCTTCTCCCTGCAGCCCCCATTGTGGCTGGCGGCTAACACAGGCTTTGTTCTCTCCCAACTAGGCCAGGGAGCTGGAGAGCAGAGAGGCAGAGCTCCAACGCCGAGACACCTTCTACAAAGAGCAGCTGGGGCGCATCGAGAAGAAGGTAGGCCGAAGATTGGCTTCTCTCAGAGGCCAGGTACCATAGGTACCCAATCAGGATACACCACCATCATGGGGAAAAGAGAACTGAGGCCTAAACCCTCTGGTCCAAATGCCTGTCACCCTGTGAACACGCCTTCCCGCATTCCGCAGCCAGCGCCGCAGTTCCAGCCTTTCAACAAGTTACATTCACAAAATAATTGGTTTTTAATTGGCCTGGTTTTTGTTGAATGTGGCTGGCTCTGCTATAGTTCGATTTTAGAAAAAAATTAACTTTCACCACAGGGCGGTGCTGAGAACCACTACACCTTTCTCACTTTAGTTAAGCTGCATTGGGTAAAAATAATAATAACGTGAAGTCTTGCTATACAAATACATTAATGTTGTATTATTGATTTTCTCCCGGGAGCAGGGAAGATCAAAGCGCATTGCTGCTACACACTCACTGCTGCTCGAAAGACAGGCCTTTGAAATGAATGAGACTTAAAGACACATCTCATACCTTTAAAAACAGCTGAGGAAAATTCATTGGGTAACTTGCTTACTTGGGATGGGGGTGGTTAATTTGTTGATTATGGCAGATTTTCCAAAGAAATGGCATAAAACATGGAGGAGAGATGGCTGAGAGGCTAAAAAAAAAGTTGTTCTCCTTCATGCCTGAGACAGCATGCCAAGCAACCTGAGCCATCAGCTTATTGCAGGCAAATCATCGTGAATCATTTGTCACGGTTTGGAGCTTTGAAATTGACAGTTTACTTGAGGGGCTTGATTTCCACAGGGGCTTTGTCCAATGCTGTGCCACAGTGGGGTCTGGCAGAGATGTGGATCCTAGATTCCCAGGCAGCGGGGACAGGAGCGCGTGCGCGCGCGTGCACACACACACACACACACGCACACACACACACGCACACACACATGCCCCCCCCCTCTCTCTCTGTGTCTCTCTCTCTAGCACCTTAAGGAAAGAGTCAGGATTGACCACAGGAACCCCTGAGGCGCTGATGGTGGTCCCCACTGTCTAAGGAGCAGCAGTGTCTCTGAGCTGCTTGCAAGTGGCCCATAACAAGCCAGTGCTTCACAGAGCAGGCTCAGGCATAGGTTTGACTGGTAACTTGCAGAATGACAAAGATTGTGATTTGAGGTCCCAGAAAAGGATAGGAAAACTCCACCAGCCAAAGCCCTAATTATCACAGTTGCCCATATGTTCACAGGCACAGATTTTTTTTTTCCCAGCTTTGGTCTCCTGCTGTGCTTCTCTGTGTCACTATCTCTGGGCTTGGCTGCTAGAAGGATGTGTACACATGTCTTGTTGGAGAAGGAAGGGCAATAGCCTCACCACATTTTTTCCTCCTCCTATTTTCTCTTCTCGTCTCCCATTTCTACTTGTTTTCTCCTGCAAAACTAGTTCCCTGCTTTGCAGAAGGAAGCTAAGCCCTTCATTATGTATTCCTCCCCTCCTTTGGTAATGTGGAGTCCAGACTCCTTATGCATGCAGATAGGAGCTTTTGGGAAAATGGGAGGTTTTCTTACATGCTTGTGGACAGTTATTAAATGCTTCCAGAAGGAGGTGCAAAAACATACTTTCCACCTCTTAAACACAGCATTTTGCTCTCTGTAGTGAAAAGGGAAAGCACCTTCACGTCTCAGGAAGTAAGATTGGTGAGGGAGATAGCAGGGATTACAGGGTGCTGCAGAAAGAGGGGAGAGGCAGAATAATCAGGCTTAATTATATTAGTTTTGAAAAAGGTTTTCAATCTTTTCTGTGGATAATTTTATCCTGTAACGGCTGGGAAGATGGAAAACACAGCATTCAACAGTCTTTTTTATTAGCTGTTGCTTTTATACAATTTGATTTTCATTTGTTGAATACTCTTAGATCTTGACATTTCCAACTTCCTTACACATAGCTCCAAGATCTTCCAAGCATCATGCTCCTTCCCTTCCCCTCCCCTCCCCCTCCCCTTCCTCTTTTCCTCTTTCCCCATCTCCCTGTGTATCTCTGTGTCTCTATCTCTGTGTCTCTGTCTGTCTGTCTGTCTTTCTTTTTCTCTTTCGTCTTTATTTCTTCATTTCAAGTTTGGACGTTGACAGTGGAAAGGTGTTTAGAGGGATATGGACCAGCTGCATTGTCATCCTTGACCTACCCAAAGAGTTCAGAGTGCTATCACAAGGGCAGTTGGGGTGGGAGAGGGAGAGGCCTGGGGCTTTGGGGTGTGTCCAAGGCTAGCTCAAAGCTCACTACCTGCCCACCTGTAGGATTCAGCCCTAGAGTTCTTTGTGATCCTGTGGTACTGCAGTGTTTCCCCGCCAAGTTGATCATTCTTTGGAGTGGAAATCATAGAGCTCCTATGCTTTTAATCTTTCTGAGTAATTGTTCCTCGTACTCACACTGCAGAATCTAAGTGAGGAGTGCTTTTTCCATTTCATCAGAGAGAGCAGTGAGCGGAGGATGCAGGGCTCTTGCCAGGATGTCATGGAACCTGAAGCATAGAATCCTGGACATGCTGTTCGTAGGACACAGTAGTAGGGCTTAACTGACAGAACCTGGGCACCAGAGCCCACAGCTTAGGGCCTCCAGTTCTACATCACCAGCCATTGTGCCTCCTTATATCTCCATTTCCTCATCTGTTCGCCAGAGATAACTGCTATTTTCTTTTCTTTTTTTTCTTTTTTTGCCAGTCCTGGGGCTTGAACTCGGCCTGGGCACAGTTTCTGAGCCTCTCTGTAGTCAAGGCTAGCACTCTACCATTTGAGCCATAGCACCATATACAGCCTTTTCTGTTTATGTGGTACTGAGGAATCGAACCTAGGGCTTCATGCACGCTAGGCACGTACTCTACCACTGAGCCTCATTCCTAACCCTATAACTGCTATTTTCTATAGGAGTGAATGGCAGGGTTACAGGAAGCACTATCCTTGGAAATATCGATGTGTTCCAAATAGCTAGAGCACGTGCGTGCATGTGTGCACGCATGCAATCACGCAAGCAATATGAGATGAGGTGAATTTTATCATTGACCTGAACCCTCAACCTTCTCTCTGAGTTGAGGAAGCCTCATCCCTGGGCTTTATCAGGCTTTTCTCTGATGCCTACCAGGAGCCCATAGGTCATGCAGTGTACTGGAGGCTGGGCAAGCACTACTCACAGGTTAGCTTGCCTCCTAAGTCCAGCAGTTGCAAAACAAGTCCATTTCATCAGTATGCTGGGATGCGTAGCAGGAAGGTGAAATCTTCAACCACCTGTACCGAGTCATAGTCACTGAACATCCTGCTATCTTAACTGCTCTCCTACTAGACACTATGCCTTGCTAACCTGCAACTGTAACTTTTGTAGAAAGCAAAAGGACTAGGAGTGGAATCCACCAGCACAGCACCATGCCTGGATTTAGCGCCCCCTGGAACTAGGGTGACTTGGGCCTATGGAACCAGCATGTCTTCTAGCAGAACTCTGTATGTTGAGAGGCTCTGGCATAAACTCTGACAGCCCATGGACCTTGACTGCTTGGACTGGCCAAGACCTTGTCTTCTGTGGTTGGCCATGGTAGGAACAAGTATGCTTTGAGGCCAGGCAGATGTCACTCTAGTTTCTACCTTGATCACAGGGAATAGCCTTGTGGCTCTACGCTCATTTCGTTTATGCTTTCTGTAGCCTCAGTTTCCTTATCTTGGAAGTGCAGATAGTGAAACGAACCTGCCAGTTATCTTAGAATGAGCGATAATTTATATAAAAAAAACATCAGAATACACCCCTGAATATTATTTCCTTCCACTTTTCTCTTCTGTAAGAAATGTATGGACATTCATTAATGTTGCACTGATTTAAGTCTGCCAAATGCTAGACTCAGAAATGGTTCAGACAGGTGGTTCTTGTCTCCTCATGGGAGGGAAGAATGTCTTGAGGATTAGAACACCAGATGAGAGGAAATTTGTGTGCTGGCTTCTCTGACTCCTAGTTCTAGTGGAAGATCTTGTCTTACTTTTTCCAAACTCAGCAGCTACCCATTTGAGGGAGCATCAGAGCTAGCATCTAGATTTAAACCAGGGGAAAAGGGAGAAACTTAGAAATGTGTGTGTTCTTCCTGGATTCTAGTTCTTCCCCCAGAATGTGAGGTTCCCTCCTGTCCCTCTCATACATGCATGCTGCTCTCCACTGCTGCAGTGATCAGCCATCCATTCCTTCCTTTCTGACCTTCAGTGTGGGGCATCTTAAGAAAAGACTGATCAGATCCTGCCAGCCCTGCACACTCTTCACCCATGACACTCCACAAAGCCTGCCTATTCCAGGCATACCTGTCTCACCCTGGTCACTTGATAAATCAGTGGGTGTGTTCAGGAAAACAAGATGTTCTAGTGTTCAGTAAGCATGGGAAAAGTGCCCAGCCCCATTCAACATCAGGGAAATGCAGAGCCCAGCTACAAGGAGAGGAATGGCCAAGCAGAAAGATGGACCCCCAAGTTCTGAGAAGGATATGCCTCAGGGCAAATTTGCAAGCATTGCTGGCAGCAGCTTACATTGACATAGATATTTTATGACCTGTTGTCTAGGATCTGGTAGAGTTGAGCATACGAATGCCCTGGGTCCCAGGAGAAGTATGCTAGTAGGTTCCTAGAAATGCTATGAAATGTTCCTAGTGGCAACATTCATGATAGCCCCAAATTATCAACAGAGAATTGATTAATTACAGCAGGAGTGAGAATGAGTCATCTGCATTATAGGCGTTAATATGGAAGACTCCTCAAACACAGTTAGGCGAAAGAGGCCAGACAGAGATGCATGCCTGCAAATTGTGTTATCTATTTGTCTAAAGCTCAAAAACAGCAGAACCAAATCTGTGGTGGGTGGAAGCAAGGAGATGGTTAGGCATGGGAGGGTTTGTGACTGGAAGGAGGACGTGAAGGTTGGGGCAAGGTGAGACCAGCGTGCCCACCTAGTGAGGGTTCACCTCACTGGGCACTGGAGGCTGGGCTCTTCTGACTGTTACTGTGCTAGACAGGAAAAGGCCA